ATAATGACTTCATCATGAAGTCCAAAGTGTCTCCAAATACAATAGTAATTAAATTCCAATTAAATTCCATCTTCCTAAATGGGTAATCCACTTATTTGTAGAATCCTTGTAGCCATATCACTTAACATTTTTTAGGACTGTTTGAATATTTGGCATATTTATTACACATTTCCTACATATAGTTTCAGCTTCATTAAGATGGAATAAATTCTCCTTTGGTTCATATTCAAAGACTGATCATAAGCAAAATATGAATGATACCTAGTTCAAATGTAGGATTGTTTGATTTGAAGGAATTTTTGTGGATGCACCAATCCTGTTTTAGATATATTTTTTCATAATAGGATAGTAGTTATTTTTCAGGGGGAAAAAAAAAGATGAAAACATCTGAATAAAGATATTGGGTGATCCTTTAAAATTGGGCTATCTTTAACATAACAGTAAAGAAACAAGGGACTTTTTTCTAAGATCTGCATTCCAGATTTCACAACTGAAACCAAATCACCATAGTCCTTTTCCCATATGCATTGAGTCCTTGACTGTATAAGATTGTTTGCTGAGGACTAGTGAACTAGAAATCAAGATCTTTGTAATCTCTTAATTCTATCATTTTAAATGATGCCAATTTGATAGAATGACATTCTCATTTTCCTCATTTGCTTCATTTTCTTCATTTGCAAAATTACTTTATGATAGTGGAGGGAAGCTGCATTTGAAGAATGTTTATTATGTGCTTTGAGATCATTAAAGCTGATATCACTTTGCATACCAAGTGGTAGTATTCATATCCTTAATATACTAAAGTTCTGATACAATCAACCTTTAAAAAATAATGTATCATGACCAACTGCTTATGCATAATTCCAGGATGTAAATGTGTCTGCAGTAATTACTCCCTCCTCTGAAATCTTGACATGAGCATTGTCTGTGCCACTCACACTGGGACTTGGTATAAGCTATTTTCTATTGTTATTTATCTTTATATGCATATGTCCTATTTATGCAAACAGATTGTGAGCTCTTGAGGCTTGGGGGGGGTGTACCCCTAGCTTCTAGCGATGTGCTTTGCACTCAATGGATGCTTAATCAGTCCTTGATGACTAGGGGGATATTTGGTCAGAGACACCCCTCTCAGTCTCCTGAACAAAGAATTATTTGTGGTATTTATTCTGTGATAGGAAAGGTGCTATTATCAAAGAGGGGAAAACATATCACTCATATCTCTTGCACTTTGATATTCTCAACATGCATTTGAGGTCAACTGGAATGGAAATAGCCAATAATATTTAGCCATCAAATATGTTTTATTGATAAGGTATCTATCCATAGCGTAAAGTTCTGTATGGATCATTGTCATATACATTTGATTACTATTTATAAAAGATTGGCAATAACTAAATTAAAATGTCCATAGTGTTTACTCTGTGTCGTCATGAATAGTTTTAATTTGCTTTTTTGCTCTATTTTTTCCAAATTCTGCATAATAAATACAATTATTCTTATAATTAGGAAAAAAATGTGAAATTCTAAAAGGTTTTGTTTCTATTCTGGTAAGCCAAATTACAGAAATTTTTAATAGTTTAATGCCATTCTACATATTACTTTTCACTTAAATTAAAATCGAACACAGGAAAGACTAAATGCCAGACTGTATATTGACAAGGGCAATACTTAACTGACGATACAGAAAAGGGCAATACTTAAATAAACATAAACATTACTCATTAAAACTCCTCAAAGATGTTTAAATTAGCATAATAATATTCCATGTGTTAATTAAAGCCTGAACAACAAATTTCTTCTCTCCTCATCACTTATTGGTGGATTTTGGAGCTGGGAGATAACATGCTTCCATCTTCAGAGGAACCACAAGAAGGACACAGACCTAGGTTCCTAGCCCAGAGGAAAACTATTGTTGAAATGGTACCCAAAAGCCTTAAAGAACGTATCTATTCTTCACATTGCCCAGTGGATACATTCATATGATTTCCTAGACATCCATGTGTCACCTGCAAGAATTCAGACAGATCCTTATTGAGTGTGAAAAGTTTGAGGCACATTTCCCCAGACAGGTAATTAAAGATATCTATTATTGACAACACTAGCACATTTCGCTAAGATTGCTTTGGTGCCAGGATATATCCCTTCAAAATAGGAGTTGGTGGCAAGGAGGGATTTCAAGAGATGTTTGTCTACAGTAGGCTTCGAACAAAATGGAGACCAGCCACTCTTGCCTAAACCCATTGTGCTTGCTGTAAGTTCTTTCTTCATCCACCTCGTGCCGGCATCTGTCACGGAAGCAAAACATGGTATACCAAGAATACATTAGCATGGCTTAATATAAAATCTTTTATGCCTGTTATTAGTTTTACATCACTTTAGATTGTCATCAGGAATTGTTCAATCAAAAGGTTCAGTCAAAGCTAACAGTCTTTACTGATGTATTTTTTCCCCAAGAGTGTTGAAAATTTGATTGTTCAAACTGCAAATATGATTCAGCAAACCGTTTATCAGAAAACCTTAAGGAGGTAATGTAAAATGTGGCTAGGAAGCTGAATTAAATGGACTTGAGCAGTCAAAGACTTTGAAACTGCTTTCCTGTGAATGTCTGGGATAGAGCAGAACAAAGTCAATTACTGACTGTAATTAAGAAGTGGATGCATTTAAACTGTAGAGAGCAGTAGCAGACTTCTCCAGACTGCCTAGTAACTGGAAAGATTAGTGGGAAGACAGAGGAAAGAATGTGAACTGTATCTTTCTGATAGTATATTTTGAATGAATTGCATTCATATAGTTTCTCTGATCCAGCGTCCTCAAATGAATCCATAAATCACTGCTTATGTACGATTAATGCAGTCATATATTTGGATAAAGAAACTTTTAAAATACATTTTGTTTTTGGTTGTGTTGGCAGTAAAAGATTCCCTTTCATTGCATAGCATGCACCAAAAATGCAAATGTACTGCTGAAGTATTTACATTTTATCACTGTTTGAATTTACTGGACTGAAAACTGAACTGTGAGCTCTTTCCTAAACCCTCAGAATATAGTAAATCTAATTATGTTTGCTTCTTGTACTTTGAAATGTTTCTTTTTATAATTTTAATAATGATTTATTTATAATGGCGGAGAAATATATTAGATTGTACATTGTGTTTGGGCTAATTCATATTTCTTTGTGTGTGTTAACAAACTGTGATGTTATTTAATACATTCATAATCAAAATATTTAAATTTAGATTGGGAGGAAGGTAGAGGCCAAGGGCATTACCGGTTTTCTTAGGTTAGTTACAAGTGACCTTATATTTCTAGATTGCTATTTCTGTGGCAACACTTTATAAAGTAAATATTTGCAACTTTATGTAAGTAAAGAACATTGCTAGGGTGTTCAGATAATTAGGCAAACATCAGCTTAACTGTCTTTTAATAGATACATAAAACAGAGGACTATTTGGAGGCTATTTTGAGCCATCCCAAATCGTACATGCAATTTTACTTAAAAAAAAAAAAAAAGAAAAGAGCAATTGGCCCCGGTAGTCTGTCAAATTCTAATGTGGATAATTAAATTCCTCTTATTTTCTAATCCTTCACTTCTCATAATTGCATATACTTGGAGAGTTCCTCTCCTTACAGTTGTAAAACGTCGGAACGCATCTCACTCAAGAATGGTTGCATTGCAGCCCTGAGTGTGATGTTGCATCTCTGAATCGTTTTTTCTAAAAATAAATGATGAGAGAATATATATGTATGTGTGTAATTGAAGATTTCTTTAAAACTCCAGGATCATTGTCATTAAATATTGCCGTAAGAATCACTGAAACCTTCAGAGTGAGCTATTTTGGGTAATAATTGTCACTTTAATGGTAGAATTATAGAGACATCCTAAAGCATGATTTGTGATTTTCTGAACCTGTGGGCACATGTCAGTGTTCACCTCCGATTTAGAGCAAGGAAAGCTGAGAAGAGGTGACTAGTTCCCGACTAAGTATTTTGAAATGTCAGTCCTCTAAACCTCTGAAGCCTTGCTTGATGTGTGACAGTAGTCGGGAAATGTTCATCTTCCTGTTGAAACAAAAAGTCAATACAAAGGGAAAATCTTCACAGTTCAGATTGATGGCCTAATACAGAAAGTGTGTCCACACCCACTCTAATCAAATTCGTCTCTAAGTAGCCTTTTATGTGTGAAATCAAGAGCATTGCTCTGTTTCTATAGGGTCACATTCTTCTCTCACGATGCTGGAGAGGAAAAGATTCGCTGTAATGAAAAACATATAGTTGCATGTTAAATATTGCCAACTACTTAATAGCTCTGAGAGTCTGGAACGGGGATGTTCACTTGATAAATACTCTCCATGAGAGGTTCAAATATGTAAATAAACTTTTATTCTAATACACTCCTTTTGTGGGGGAAATTAGTCCTGTATTACTTTCCTATGGATCTTTATGATAGGAAAGTAGAAGTAGCCAAATGTTATTCATTTGAATGACCTTTTGGAAAAGTCTGCATTAGTCTCTTTGGTAAATAATCTGTTTTACAGCCCTCCATAAAAGGAAATCAAATATAGAGATACTATTAGATTTGAAAAAGACAAACAGGAAAGAGCCAAAAGTGCAGAATGAATTCTGACACACCCGGGTGCATTTTTCTTAGGTTCTGACTTAAGTGGGTACTGTCTGCATCATTCCGAACTTCCTGACTTGCTTCTCCTTGAGTTGGAGTAATGCAACTTTAGTCCTACTCTGAGTTAATCGTTCTATTATTAAAACAATAATGTATTTGTTATGACATGAAAAAACAATTTATAGAGAGCAGTTCAAAATGATCCTGGTCTCCCAGTTCCCAGAAAGACAATTACTGGAATATGAGAAAATATTTTGGTGTATTGAAGTGTGTTTTTTAAACAACATATATATATATCTTGCAGATATAAATATCTCCCTTTTTTTTAATGTAAGAGATCAATTTTATGTGGTTTGCTTACCTGTCGATTTTTTTTCAGATCACAACAGTATCAGGAAATGAGTTCCTTCTACAGTCAGATATTGACTTCATCATATTGGATTGGTTCCACGCTATCAAAAATGCAATTGACAGATTGGTATGTATTTGTTTTGGCTGTTACCTTTATTAATTAAAATGTTCTCACTTAAATTGTTGCTTAGGCATATAACACACACATTTAAATGGATCCTATAGATCGAGAGATATTAAGTTATTTTAAGTTTAAATAAAGTCCACTAAAAACCATTTCAACAGACGTGATTCGTAGAGCTAAATGTCATTTGATTTCTCTCTTTCAAATGAAAAACACAGTGCATTCATTTTTTTCCCCTGAAATAACATGGACATTCATTTACTAGAAGCTGTAAAAAGCACACAAGCACTTAATGACTACTGAGTTTTCACATTTTCAGTTTATGTTGTCTGTAATACATATTCTTGAAAATAAATATCAATGTATTTAAGCCCATACTCACTGTTATAATACCAGTAAATAATAATCCTTTATACTGATTTTCATTGTTCTTCCAATAAAACTAGATTGTTCTTCTCATGAAAATTATGAATCTAAAACTTCATAAAATTACCCTAAATCATACATTCAGAGTATATTTTTAAAGAATCAAATTATTTAAAATTACCATTATATACTGATTCTAGACCAAACATCTAATTTTTGGACACTAATATTTGCAAAATCTTGAGGAAAAACTATTCTTGAGAGCTTTTAATAAGGTATATAATAGGAAAATACTGCATTTTTGGTGTGATTTTATTGTTATTTAATTGCAGTCTTCCTTTATATCATTTTGGGACTAAAACTTTAAAAAATAAAAAATTGACTTTTCTCCATCAACCATATAGTCCCCTTATCCAGGCATGCTTGAGTGCTCACACCCACATCCACCCACCCACACACAGAGTTTGTTGTTGTCGTTAAGAGTGGACTCTGGAGTCAAACTGCCTCAGTTTGAATCCTGGTTCCATCCTTTACTAGCTGTGTGGCCTTAAGCAAATTACTTATCTCTTTTGGCTTCAGTTTCCTTGTCTGGAAAGTAGGGGTAATAATGATATCTACCTCATAGGATTACTGTGATGATTAATTGAGTTAATACATGTGGAGTGCTTGGGGTAATGCAGAGCATTTAGTAAGTTATATATATATATATATAGCTATTATTAAATTTGAACTTAGCATAGAGGCCCTGTCCTTAAATAATTATCTTAGTTCAGTCTTCCCTTTAAAATTGACATCAAAATAGATCACTAAGCTATTTGGTGAATCCTTTCTTCCTTGTAAAATTATTCGGTCCAATTGTTTGTTATTTCCAGCCAAAGGATCCAAGTGGTTCATCAAGAAACCTGGAATTATTCAAAATCCAGAGATCCTCCAGTACTGAATTACTAAGTAACTACGATAATGATATAAAAGAACAGAAACCAGAGCACAGAAAATCTTTAAGTAAGTTTTTTTTTTTTTTTTGCTTGCTGATTTTAACTTTGTCTAAATGCAATGCTTATGAAATATAAATGCATCAAAATAAGATTTGAGCCAAACTCATACTACTCATGGAAGATTCGTAGCCATTTCCTGGCCAGGGATTCATACACTGGAGGGCAGTCTGGGTGCTTTGCTCGCATCATTGTTGGTAATGCCTTTTGAGAAAATAATTGTTCCAAGGTCATGGTCTCTGCTTGGAGCAAAGCTCTGAATCTCTGAGTAATAGCCATGGCGTTCAGATTGATGATTGATTTTGAAAGTGGGAAATGTCAAGCGTCTCCAAACCTTGGTATGCTGACTATTTGATTTCCATACATTAAAAGATGTATGAGTGACCACCACAGTTGGCCCAACTTAAACCAACAGGCTATGCAACTTTCCACACTACCAGACCACCAGAAAGATTTAGAAATGTGGGTTATGAGTTATATGTTCTCCGGGGTCACATCAAATTCTAATATTCTGAAAAAAGGGAATTTGGAGTAAAAAAGACCAATCTCACCATATAGTGCTCTTGAGTATAAGTCTCAACCTTGCCCCAGTCTTTCCTCCTCAACAAAAGGAGATTATGAAAAAGTGTCACACATATCTCACAGTTGGTTTGGATTTCGGCCTCCTGAAAGGTATCTCCGAAATCAAAGCAGGTGTCTCAAATCAAAGCAAACCAATTTCCCAAAGTCTCAAAAATTATAGTACCATTCCTGGATCACCTACTCTCAATCACTATTTTTTATGTCCTCTCCCTCTGATCTAAGATCAGTATAGTTACATTGTAGATTTTTGAATTAAAGAGAACTCCGTAAGTAGAGAAGGGCTTCTAACAGAATATTTACACGTGTACATGAGTACATGTGCTAAATGACTATATGTGTATATGCATAAATTTGTGTGCATTAGGGAAGACTATATGTATATACACACATATATATGTATGTATATATAAACATAGATGCACTCTCGCATGCATATAACAAGGAAGAGAGAAGCTATTTATATATAACTTATCTTCCAGAGCTAAATTATTGGGATCTTAAAAATCTAGAAATAGCATGACAACTTTGAGTAGAAGCACCCTTTCAAAATTAAGTCATTATTCAAGAACTCATACCATTATTTCAACAACTGCTAGAAACACATTTAGCGAACCAGTTTTGTTAAGTTGGTGTTTAAAATGATCAATGTTAATGTCTTAATCTGTATGGTGCTTTGCAAATCAAGTTATTTGTGGAGAGTTAGCAATGCCATTTAAAAAGATTGTTCCATAAGGTGGTACAGTTTGGAGTTATCTCATTTGAATGTTTCCCTTTAATTCCTGGTCATTGTTCCCCTTTACTTAACATAGGATCAAATTTAAGGTAAGATTTTAGAATTAGAATTCAATTGTGTGTATGTTAATGTTATGTGAGTATGTTAATGTTAATTATATGACCATTGTTTAGTGTATATATAATAGGATACATGAAGCAATGATTAGTAGAGGTTTGGAGGATACCTTGACCTGCTTCTAGAGCCTGAAGGTTGGGAGAAAATCAAGATTTGTAAAAGTGTTTGAGAAACATTGAAGCAAATGGATTCTGTGTTCAGCGATAGTCCCTTGAAATGTTTTAGGATGATACTGGGGAAAAAAATCTTCCTACAGATAGAATACCAGCTACTCCTCTTTAGAATTTATTTTTGGGGCACCTGGGTGGCTCAGTTGGTTAAGCGACTGCCTTCGGCTCAGGTCATGATCCCAGGGTCCTGGGATCAAGTCCCACATCGGGCTCCCGGCTCAGCAGGAAGCCTGCTTCTCCCTCTCCCACTCCCCCTGCTTGTGTTCCTGCTCTCGCTGTCTCTGTCTCTGTCAAATAAATAAATAAAATCTTTAAAAAAAAAAAAAAATCTAACATTAAAAAAAAAAAAGAATTTATTTTTGACTGGGAAAGACAATTATTTGTGTATTGGAGGCTTAAATTCAATCCTGCCTAGAGACAAGGGAAGAGGCATATGATGTATCTACTCATTTTAAAATGTACCTAATTCTCTAGGGATCTCATAGTCATTTTTTCCTTTGCAGTTTAAAAATAATGACAGGTAGCCACCATTGAGCCCTTGCTTTTCACCAGGCATTGTTCTAAGTTTTCATTAATGTTGACTTACCTAATCCTCCCACTAACCCAACGGAGCAGGTGCTACCACTAAACCTATTTTATAGATGAGAAAACTGAGGCATGGAGAATTAAGGCCATTTGTACAAAGACAGGTTATGGAGACAAGTTTCAAACCCCTGCAATTGGAGATAAGAGCCTATGCTTTACCATTACACTACAGTGAAGTGAACAAATAAAAGGTAAACTTAGTTTATATCAACTTTGGACTTGGATGGAAATATTACATTAAAAATGAGATGCATCGAAATCAGTAAACTTAAATAGGGACCCAAAAACATACTAGCAAAAGAACTAAAACCAAATGTCTCTGGAGTTTGATTTTACTATTAAAATAAAGGGGTCATTTAGTCTATGATATTAGCCCTAATTTTAGAAAATGCTTCATTTCCATTTTTTTTTTTAAAGATTTTATTTATTTGACAGAGACAGACACAGCGAGAGAGGGAACACAAGCAGGGGGAATGGGAGAGGGAGAAGCAGGTTTCCCGCGGAGCAGGGAGCCGGATGCGGGGCTGGATCCCAGTACCCTGGGATCATGACCTGAGCCGAAGGCAGACGCTTAACGACTGAGCCACCCAGGCGCCCTTCATTTCTATATTTTGATGGGTATTTATAGTTGTAAGCCCTTTTTAAGTCTTAGTATTTTTTTTTGCAATGTAGGATATAGTTAATATCCGTCTATTACTTAAAATTAAGTTCTTTCACTATTTATGTATTGATTTTCATTTGAAAGGCATAATGATAGACACACCCACAGAATGTCAAATTAGATTATGCATTTGAAATAATGATTGGCATATTTTATATTTGATGCTTTATAAAATATTTTTTCAAGTAGGAAATATACTGTGTGAAACCCCCTCTGATCTCAGTCCTAGATTTGAGCACCCAAACTGAGATTCTTAAAACATGCATTCAGTTTTATGTTACCCTCTTGAGATTAAATAATTATGTGGAATTAGAGATTCACAGTATCTCCTTTCTTATTAGTAGTCTAAGCACAAACTTTATAGTCAGTTTGCTGCCTTTGGCTTCCTGTGCCCTTGATGTTCCCATGAGTTTTGTCGCCAAGATTGTAGACAGATAAAGCCAGAATTACTTTTTTTAAAGGCATGTGAACATCATTAGCAGCTAACAGGTGGTCATTTCATTGTCCAGTTTCTCTGGGTAACATGGGAAAAAATATGTACTCTCAATGAGTGAACTGTGAAAGTTAAGTGCTTATATACTTTCCTTTTTAAAATATGATTCTAACCTGCCAACATTATTAAGGACTAATCAGATACTTTAAGATATCAGTTGAGTCTAACAGACAAGAAGCCAGAAAATTCAATGTAAGGGCCAAATCACTGTGGGAAATTCAGGACACCAGCATGGGATGAGAGTGGGAGAGCAGCTCTCCAGGGAGGGTTGTTAATGGAAAGTGGAGAGTCAATCAAAGAAAATACTAGCATATTTTTTCCAAGGAAAGAGAAGTATCTTCCACTGATGGCAAAGAAGAAAGGCCTAAATATAAATCCTGCATCAGATAACCTTGGAGAGGTTTCTTAACTTTTCTGAGCTTTATTTTGTAGATCTATAAAAATGGGTCTAATGCTGTCCTTGCAGGATAGCATGAGAATTTGAAATTAGACATGTAAATACTTAGCTCACAGCATTTTCTCAATGAGTAGGAGCTCTTATTATTATCCTCTGTGTCCCCAAGCAGATGGTACAAAATGGGGCATAAACCTAGGGTAGTGTCTAATGGAAGAATGGAGAAGGGCCTATATACTTGACACCCTCTCCCTAAGTGTGAGAAAATAGGGGGAAAGAGCCAGAATTGGATATGGGAGTCATAACTACAAAACTCTAAATATGAGCAGCTGGTCTTTCTCCTGGCGACTCCCCAGGTGAAAATGGCAGCCAGGGCATTTTTGGGAGCAGCACACCAGGAAATAATAGAAGGGAGCCAAGAGATACTCATGATTCTTTTATGCCCAGAAGAGCTGGTCATGAAGAAGTTCCTATCGATGGAAAGGATTCAGCATCTAGCCATTTCGCTATTCCTTTAGGCATAGCTCTAGTTTATTCATTCACTCATCTCTTCATTCTTTTTCATTAATGGATATACCTGAAGGTACACAACTGAAATTCGTGACTTTACTCATTTGCACTTTCAATTTCTAAAAAATATTTTGTATTTGGGTTATGCTTTAGAAGTGGTATACCACATGCTGATCAGGTGCTAAACTGTAAAATCCGTGCGTGGAGACCTTGGATAACTTCTATATAAAATTGACACTTTTAGCATTATAAATAAGCACCCCAAAATAAACATGAACTAGAAGAATAAAATCAAAAAGTGAGAGAACTGAAAGAAAATGAGTTTTCTTTTAGCTGTCTTTCAATGAAGTTTTCATAAACAGCAAATGTTTTCAAATATCCTGAAAGTATTTAGATATGGATTTCCCAATTGCATCTCCCCTTAGTAGGGGTGTGAGTACAAGGCTACAGGGATAAAGACAGGAATGGAAAAATTAGGATGAGATAGTCATACAATATAGAAAATGAAAATACTTGTGAACCTTTAATAATATCTTCATTTAAAAATTTGTCTGCAAAGTAATCATGATCATGCCAAGTGAAAACAAGTCTGATAGAGAAGGTACTAATCTAAATAATTATAACACTGGTCATCCACAACTGTAAGTAGATTACGTTCTCAAAATCCAGTTGTAAACTGGTTGCTTAGATCTCACTCAGCACACTTTCATAAGGAAACCACGTACCAGCCACAAAAGCACACTTTACCCTTATTGCAATCATTTA